TCGCTTAAGTGCAAAAACTTTTAAATGCGAAAAAACCCCGCGATTTTGATAATAATTACTATGGTATAATGTTAAATTACATTTATAATTGCTAATCGGTTAATTGCGAAATATCGGATAATTGCAAAATTTTTCAGGCCCCATTTATATAACAATAACGTTAATTTAATCGGATAAGTGAAAAAATAAAAAAAATTTATCGAAAAAAATTATTCATCATTTTTTTTATTTAACCTTTTTCCATTCATTCATTCATTCATTCATTCATTCATTCATTACCACGCCAGAAATTAATATAAAAATGGTAAAAAAATTATTCCAAACATTAACCCTGAAGCATAAAAAAGAAATAATTGATAAATTAAACACTACATCAAAAACACAATTAGCATCAAATTACAATTGCCACGTCTCGACAATCTACCGTTTAATAGCGAATAAAGAAAATCTATGCTCACAATTTCTAAGGAATAAACCTCCTACAACTAAAAGAGTTAGAATGAGTTGTTACCCAAAGACAGAAGCAGCTTTATTGGTTTGGATTACCCAAATGCGAAGTAAAAATTGCAGTCTAAATGGGCCAGTGATGTTAGAAAAAGCTATGTTTTTTAGCCAAACATTCAATGAAGGTAATTATAAGTTTTTATAATATATATATAAATTATAGGCATTCCTAATAGCAGCTTGTTGCAGAGATTTAGGAAAAGACAGAATATAAATTTTCATAATGTTTGCAATGAAAAGGGGAGTGCAGATATTATTAATCCAAATGAATGGAGCAGAAATACACTCCCATCCCTGATTAAAGATTATCAAAGGAGTAATATTTACAATTGTGATGAGACAGGACTATACTACCGAGCATTACAAAAGGGCACAATGGAATTTAGTGGAACTCAACCACTGGGCTTCAAACCAGACAAGGAAAAGGTCACAGTTCTATTTATCATAAATGGGGATGGATCTGATAAAAAGTTATATGTTGTAGGGAAATTTAAAAACCTTAGGTGCTTTAAAAATAAAAAATTACCAGTTAAATACTACTCCAATAAAAGCAGCTGGATGACAACCTCAATTTTTGAAGATATTCTTAAAGAATGGGATTCCTCATTAAAGAAGAAAATTTTATTGTTTTGTGACAATGCATCTTGTCACAAAACAAAATTAACATTTAACAATATAAAATTAATTTTTTTAACAGCAAATACAACATCATTAATTCAACCTTTGGACATGGGTGCAATTAGATCCTTTAAATGTCATTATAGAAAGGGTATCATGAGAAAAATGATGACATTGATGGAAGGAAATGACACCACCTCTTTTTATAAAAGATTTACACTTTATGATAGCCTCTATCTTATAAAATTTGCATGGGGTGAGGTGACAAGTACCACAATCATAAAGTGTTTTATTGAAGCTAAATTTTTTGATAAGTCTATGGCATTTGATTGGGAATCGGAGGATGATATAGCATTAACTGACAACGAAGAAGATGAATTTGATCCCATATTTGAAGAATATGCGTTACACGATGATGATGCTAGCTGCCATGGAATTTTAGATGATCAGGATATTTGTAATCAGATAAGATTAGAGTTGGAAGGTTTAATTACTTAAAATTTTAATTAATCTTATTTTTTATAGAAGGTTATGAAAGCTCCGAGAATGTAGAAGGGAACCTAGAGATATCTGATCATTTAATTACAAAAAACCAGGCTCTTAATGGTTATTATACTTTTATTGAATATGCTCATAAACATCTAAGGGATCAAGATTCACTAAGAAAGCTAGAGAATATAGTGGAAAAAGAATTATTTACTCCAGAGTCTAGCCAAACTCTTATCACAAAATATTTTTATTAAATCTTACATTACTTTATAATAATTGTGATGTATGTATAATAAAATTAGTTCAAATAAAATCTTATGTTATAAAGCATTAATAAACTTTCATTCCAGCATGGTCTGTTAATACATTTACATTTATAATATTAGAATTCATAAGATTTGAATAGGCACAGGATTTTAAATCAAATATCATGTGAATGAAAACAAAACACTTAATAAACTTAAATTCTTTTAAATTAATCTTATTGTTTCCAATTTTTTAGGCAAAATATTTTAAAATTTGGCTTTAATAATAAATTAGAATTTAAAAAGCGATAATATATTTGTGTAAAATTATATTTCAGTAAATTTAATGAAGGTAAAATGACAAAAGTAGTTAAAATTAATGGAAATAAATATTAGGGTATTGTAAAGGAAAAAATGTTATTATCTTTCACAAAAGCTTTTTTTTGCTTTAATTCTTACATATCTTAAATAAAAAATGAGATAAAATCAAGTAAACAAATTTAATTATAATTTTATTCAATAAAAAATAATTTATTAACAACTATAATGCTATAAATAATTACAATCTTTTTATAATTAAAAGTCTTGTTTTCTTTGTTCCTTTCTGTCTATAATCATGTCTAGATCTAGAGAAAATATAAATATATATATCAAAATATATCACATTACTTTCAAGTGCTTCAGATATTTTAATATTATTTGATTGATCTATGATCATATGTTTCAACAAATAAGATAAATTTTTAAAATTTAGTTTTTTTATTCGTTACATAACTTATTCAAATTAAATATATAGTTGGTTACATTAATTAAAAATTGTATTTATTGCAAAGTTTGATGGCTTATATGATTAAAATATATATAGATGATAAATATCTTTATAAAAAACACAAACTGATTTTTAATAAATAAATTGTTGAATTTTAATCGTATAATTGCGAAAAATCGGATAATTGCGAAATTTTTAAATATTTCGGTCCCAAGCTTTCGCAATTAAACGGTTTATTATCATTTAATAAGCAAGTATATTAGCTAATGTTGTTAAACGGCTCGTTTTGAGCCAATTTCTAAAAACGGCTAACTCAATATTTTTGCCAGAAAAATATTGACTAAGCCTTGAAATTTCTATACTATATGTCTAGACCTTTGCTCCTTCTATGAGCAAAATCTTCAGGCTTGCATAATATTTTTCTGGATAAAAAATTGAGTTAGCCGTTTTTTAAAATCGGATCAAAACGAGCCGTTTAACAACACTATAACATATTTTTTTATTCTAAACAGATATTTAATATATTACAAATTGATATTATAAAAAATTTGTGTAAATAGTATTTTGAGAATATACTATGTATTTATAAAAAAAATAAAAATGATATTTTAATTAATAAAAAATATAACATATATTAAATATTATATAATAATGTATTTAATCCTTTGCGTATTTATTCCATAGCAGGAAAACTATAATTTTATTATGTAATAGATACTATGAGTGGTAGCTAGTGTTAACTTTCACCAAATATTATATTAATCATAACTATATATAATCATTATAACTATATCTAATTGACGAATATAATAATTCATGTTGTATAAATTTTTTAAAAAAATACGGCCTTGCCCGGCCTGGCTCGGGTATTTTTTTAAAAAAAATTTCAGGCCCGGCCCGGGTATATTTTAAAAATTTAAAAATACGGCCCGGCCCGAGGTCTCTGATTTAAGTCTTAGCCAATGAATTTATATTAATATAAATATATTCTATTTAAGGTAATTTAATCGATTCGGCTAGCCTTGAATATATTATCCACTAAAGATAATTGTAACTAGTGAATAATTATATTTAAAAAAAGAAAACTATTAACTGTAACTTGTTATATTTATAATTTTAACTATTAACATAACTAGTTGCATTACATTGCTAAAGTCACTTAACAACACTATCTATTTTATTTTATACTTATTTTTAAAAATAAAATTCGTAAAATTCCTTACAAATCATGCCAAAATTTTGTTCTACCATTAATTCATCTAATAATCGAAAAACCTTGTGCAAAGATAAACAAATAATTTTCTGTACCGATTGTAATAATTAAAAAACTACCCAATTATTCTCTTATATAAGGTAATTCGAACATATTTTATTATGTCAAATACTGTAATTTATTTTTCTATGACTATATATAACATTTTTTATAATATAATCATACTCTTAAATAAAATTCTTTATAAAATCTATAAAATAATATTCTTTATAAAATAATTCTATAAAATACATTCACTAAATAATTCTCTATAAAATTTATCCCTATAAAATAATTCTATAAAATACATTCACTAAATAATTCTCTATAAAATTTATCCCTATAAAATACATTCTTTATAAAATAATTATATAAAATACATTCATTATAAAATAATTCTCTATAAAATACATTCTCAATAAAATCATTCTCTATAAAATCATTCTCTGTAAAATCATTCTCTATAAAATCATTCTCTATAAAATAATTCTATGTAAAATCATTCTCTGTAAAATCATTATCTGTAAAATTATTTTCTATAAAATTATTCTCTATAAACGACATTCTCTATAATTGTTTTCTCTATAAGTGCATTCTTTATAAACGTCATTCTCTATATAAAACTTTCTCTATAAACGTAATTGTTTTCTCTGTATAAGTGCATTCTCTATTTTTGTTTTCTCAATAAAAGTTTATTTGTAAAATACATTCTCTATAATGGTTTCTCTGTAATGACGTGGAACCATACCTACCACCCCCTCCTCTAAATACCAATATATTTTGGAGACATTTATCTCCTACCCACCCCGGCCATGCATGTAGACACTGGTAATGAGTCACAGAGTTTCAGTATAAATAATTATCCGACAAAATTTTTTTTACGTCATACCTCGGATCAAAGTGTTCTTTGATCTCCTGTATGAACAATATAAAAATCTCATCAGTCGGATATGCTGACTAAACGAATCATCTAGCAGTCCGAATATCAATCAATTTTTCGTACTGGTCTTATATTATAGTTTTTAGATATGATAAAGGTTATTTATATTCTACTTTAGTATACTAGCATATATGTTTAATATCACTTATCACGTAAATTTATATTTTCAAGAATTTAATTTTCAAACATGATTTAATCAATCTAATAAATAACGCAGCGTTCACCGCCTTTACTATAAATGATTATGTACGTTTGGCGGTATTTTAATAATTTGATAAATAGACTATGACATTTTATCAAAATCCGTTCAGTTTATATAAAATAGTAGTATATATAATACTCTCTGGTAAGATTTGGTCTGTTATTTATCCTGTCTTATTAGGTAATTTGATTTTGTATGTATATTTCTTGCTATTATTAAAATTTATAAATATTCATATTACAAGATAGTTTTATTGTTCCAAAAATTATGTTTTATTAAAATTACATATAATTAAGTAGGTTTTAATAGTTCACTGCTAATGATTATTTTTTTAGAAGAATAATTAAAATCACTTTTTATCTTAATTAATTTTTTATACTAAGGGAATAGGATTTTCAATATTCTTATGAGAAATGTGATACCATTATCTTAATTCCTTGCCTTATTCAAGGATGAGCAGATTTTAAAAGGTAACTAGATTAGAGTAGTCTATATTTTCATTTTGCTAAATGGGACACATCTTTTAAAATATTGCATATTGTCAATCTCATAAAACTGTAACCCCTTTTTTAAAATTTTACAAGAGATATGAAAAACTTCTTTTAACCTGTCATATCATAGGGTGATGAACCAGTAATATAAAAAACATTATTACTTAAAATTCTTTTCATATTATTTTCTGCTTAACTTAATATTTTTAGTTAAATTAGATATCTGTAAATAATTTTTTATTTGGTAGTTCACAAGTTATTATGTTTTAAAGCTTCACATAGACCCCAATATATCTAATTTATTTCAACACATTTTTATACATCATTTTTTAAGTTTACTTGTGGCATTTTTAAATAGTTTGTCATGTTTTTTTTAAACTCTTAGTAAAAGCTGTCATAATTTTAAAATAATAAAATCTTAAAATAACAGTTAAAGTAACTAAAGAGTTTATTTAATATTTTGAAATATAAAAGCTAATAATAAATTTGACTCTAAGATATAGTATATATAAAGTGGGGCCCAGAAAACCTTTCAGTCTTTTTATGATTTTTTTCACTTGTCTATAATGATGATATTATTACTTGATTAATTATTTTATATACAAACTTTATAAACCTACATACCTCTAATATTTTATTTTACCTTGTTGGATTTTTAAGTAATATAAAATACTTTTTGTGAGTTATGTGTATTTACACAATATAATTAATTATCATTTATTAGTTTTACTTTACAATTATTAAGAAAGGATCATACTTTTATAATCTATGTGCAGGATAATTTTACTTAAATTAACATTTAACTGAACCTAAAATTATTAATAATAATAGTAATAAAAATTACATATTTTTTAATATTTATTATAAAATTATTTATATAATAAATGGTAAATTATCATAATGATACTAACAATATGAAGATAAATTTTTTCTAAGTTCTTACAAATGTTGAAATTATTCTTTTGTAATTTTCATTTATTTATATAAACCATCAACATCCGCAAATGGGCCTTAGGAAGCCATTCATGGGAATATATTAATTTGTTATTTATTTAATCATTAAATGGGTAATTCCTTACCAATTCAATAACTTTTTGGCCCTACCTTTTAAATTTTGATAAAATTTTGTATGCTGATAGAATATCATTAGAAAGCATTAAATCCAAAATTTTAGCCTCCTAGTACTCATAGTTCAATGGTCAAAAGTTCCAAAAATGAGCTTTTTCCAGAAAATACAATTTTTTAAAATGGAGATAAGTTAAAAAATAATGTAAAAATATAAGTTATGTCATTTTGTAACTCTATTAAAGGCCTTTTATTAAATATTAAGGATTGTTTTGAAATAATATTGTTGCGATTAACGTTATAAATTTTAAATATGAAAACTCCAGGTGTTTTGCTTTCCAAATTTTTTTGAATTTAATATTTTTTTATTCTCTAACCTTATATCTATTCATAAAAAAAAATTTAAACTTGAGACAGCATGGGTTTTTTAGTTATTACGATTTAAATATCAAAAAATAAAATTTTTTTTTCAAAAATAGATGGCGCTAATTTATAAAATAGCGTGTTTTTTTAAGATTATTATTTTTTTCAAAGATTTTCTAGCATTACTATTATGAAAAAATATTATATAGATCGTTTGATAGGCTTACTTATTATTATTATTATTATATTGATAACTTGTAAAAATTAGTTGTTTTTATAATAAATGATTAAATTTCCTAAAAAGATAGTTAAGATTCCGATATCTCCTACAAGAAAATATAATAATTAATTGTTGAAAGATAAAAGCAAGTTTTCATGCACCTGCCCTAATATTAATTAATTTTTATTTTACAAATATTTTGATATTAATTATTTTTCTTTATAAAATTATTTATAATGTATAAATATAAATGCGTTAAATTTTTTTAAAAAATCCAAACACTTTCATTATAAAAAGAACCCGCATAAAGTCATGACGTGGATGACCCAATATCCAAACATTGAGGCGGAACACTATATTTGTAATAAATGTCGTAAACGGTTATCATAAACAAATAAAATATAACTATTATGATAGCTAATATGTAAATAATATCAACATCAACACAGCATCAACATCAATAGATACAATCAATATAACCTTAACGAAAGTGGAACATCTCCTATTAAGAATAAAAAAAGGATAGATATAATAATTAACAATCCAGGATCGGGTACAAAAGATAATAATGATATTACTCAAATATATGAAATTGCCCCTCAATTAGGAGGAAGAATGGTCAGCAATTGATATTTTTTTATTTTTAGATAAATAAACGACATTCAACGCTACATAATCATATGGCATATAATTCCAAAATCATTTTAGAAGAAAAGGGGATTTTTTCAACTCCAAATCGAAAGCCTGCAAAAATATATCAAAAAACAGTTGATATTTTAAATTTTTTTACAGTGATGAAGTTAGTAGGGTATTACCAGGAAAAAAAGATTGCATAATCTAGCATTGGAAAGGGGAACGAGTGAATGCTCAAAAAAGGTTAGTTCTTAATAATTTGAAAGAATTATATAATTATTTTAAGGCGAGTAATTGTTTAACTAAACTCAACACTAAACTATATTCTAATTCGCAGACATTTATTGTGGAGAATATAGTATATCCACGTGAGGATCCTTTGATTCAGGATCTGTTAATCTATGAGATTAGAGGATATGTAACATATGCATATGAAAACGATTGGTAGTTAGGATTTGTACAAGAAGAGCAAATTCTTTTGTTTATCTAGCTTTACAAGATATCCTTTTCATACCAAAAAATAATATTTTAACAATAATTAGCCTATCAACGGCTAATGGGCGTACATATAATTTATCGCAACACGAAATTATCATGGCGTCAAAAAAAACTAAATTAAATGAAAAACCGAAAATAGGTAATATCTTTCATGAATTATTTATTTATTACATCTACAAAATTTATAAATTTTCGAAAATTAAAATTTTTTATAAGAAAAAAATGATTATAACCGCAGCTAAATAATCTCATTTCATGATATTAATGATGGAAAATCTTGCTATTTATGTTTAAAAATAGAAAAAGTTTAAAAAATAATAATCTTAACAAAACGCGTTATTTTATAAAGGAGCGCCATCTATTTTTGAAAAAAAAATTATTTTTTAATTTTTAAAATCCCAATAACTAAAAACCCATTGTCTCAAGTTTAAATTTTTTTTATGAATAGATATAAGGTTAGAGAATAAGAAAATATTAAATTCAAAAAAATTTGAAAAGCGAAACACCTGGAGTTTTTATGTTTAAAATTCATAACGTAAATAAAAACCGCAACAATATTATTTCAAAAAATCCTTAATATTTAATAAAAGGCCTTTAATAGATTTACAAAATGACATATTAAATTTTCAAAAATCATATTTTTCGAAAAAAGGTCATTTTTGGCACTTTTGACCATTGATATCTCAGGATCTATAAATACTAGGAGGCTAAAATTTTGGATTCGATGCTTTCTAATGATATTCTCTCAGTATGCAAAATTTTATCGAAATTAAAAAGGTTGGGCCGAAAAGTTATCGATTTGGTATGGAATTACCCAAATTGTAAACACTTTGACTCATGGATCCAAAATTTTATGAACAAAAAATGGATGCATAATATTTTATAAGTGTAATTTTTAAAATTTGCATAAAAATTTTGGTAATATGACAATTCAGATGCACACTAAGCTTCTCGAAAAGGCTATGAAACCAAATGAATAAAAATTGCCTTAATCACATTGATAAACAAACCAAGAAATACTGAATATTATGTTGTAAAAGCAAATTCCCCATTTGTAGATTTTGAATTATTAATAGACTTACAAGAGTTTGATAGGAGATTTTGGGCAATTCCATTACAAATCAGTGTTTTGGACGATCATTTTAAATATGATATCATGTTAGTTATTTATGTTGTAAATTTTATAGTGCTAGCTCAACCAGATTCAAAGATATACACCTTCAAAGTCAAAAATCGTACAATGTGTGACTTCATTAAATCTTGTTTTTTTAAAAAATTACTTAAGATAGAGTTACAAATTGTATTTAATTTTATAGCCCTTAAAATCATACATTGAAATTTCAAAAAATTATAAAATTTTAAATTTTTTCTTATATCAGTTATAAATAAAATATTGACATTGCCGAGAAAGGATTTTTTTGGGTGTTTATATTAGCTAGTAATATTTATTACCTTCATATTTAACTTGTTTAATCAAAAAAAATTTCCATTTTTGTTTTTTTTATAAAAATCTTTAATTATAATTATTAATAATATAATATAATATAGAATAATATATTTAATAAAAATATGTATTGTATTGGTATTAAAATTAAAAAAATTGATTGAGTATAACCAATGTGATGTCCTGAGGCTATAAGTAATTAGGCAGCCTACACAGATATGATTATTATTAGGACACTATATTGTGAAATAAACCTATTTTAAAATTTTATGTACAAACTATTATAAAAAAAATATATCTTTTCTGTATCGTATTCTTTATGGTTATCAATTTGTAAGTAGATCCTGTCGCTGTTGGATTTACCATGATTAGTGTTGGGCATATTTGATGGAAAACATTTACATATTTTTTAATTTATTTGCAATTAAAATTATTTGAATTGAAAAAATTGTTACAATAACATATT